TAAGTATATTATATAAATTACGCTACCATTAACCTGTCTTTTTGAAGGGAGCTATAAAACTAGTATCGTTTTTATCAGATTTTACTAATATTTATGATCCTTCCATTGTCAACAACAAGTAATACTTTTTAGAACTGTTTATTAAAGGAGAAACTCTAGATATACTCCATGTGGAAGACTGGTAGAACCGGCTATTCCACTCCCAAGAATCTATTGGAGTTAAGAGTGGGCTGTGTAACCAGCAATACCCTTTTGCCTGGACAAACCTATCTACCATTCAGAGGCAACTAGCAATGGCAACTAGCCGCTATACTTTCGGAGTTTTTTTTTAGTTATTTTCCAGTGGGAAACAGATTTGCATATGTAAACAATCATATTTCGAAGACCCAGTGTGAAACTGTGACTATTCCTTTAAACAATCATATCAAACGCAAAACAAAACTTGATTCTGATTTTGGGAACCGCGTAGCTCAGTGAGTAAGACGTGGGCTCGCTAACCTGGAGGTCCCGTGTTCGATCCAGGCGGTGCTGCCGAGAAAGTTCATCGGGATTTTCCGGCTTGTTCCCCACTTGTCAGTCATGTAGGACGGAGGGTCTGGCAAGGGACAACGTGTAGTCGTTATGTGACGAAAAACAGCGTGCACGTAAAAGAACCCTTGGCAATTGGAATTTTTCAGAGTAGACCGTAGCGTCGCTGTCCGAGCAAAACTGCCCTTATAGCACACTGAATGGCATATGCCCGCCTTCATTAGCCCAGTCGGGGCAGAAAAGTAGGACGTTAAACCCCATATCATTTAGAATTTGGGGTGGGCTGTGTGACTAGTAATTATTTTATGCCTGGACAAACCAATCAGTCATTCAGAGGCGTGCGCAAAGACAACTAGCCGCTATACTTTCGTTTTTTGTCATTTTCCATAGGGAAACCTACTTTTGCACATTATTCCTGGTTACCCCCTGATAAAGCCTTACAAACTATATCAGGTCTCTCAATGAAAAACTTGGGGTGAACGACCTGGAAGAGGCATGTAACCTCAATAAACTGTTTTAGCGATTATTATTTCCAAACTTTCCACTTAAATCGCGAGCCTCTTTCTTCACATTTTGATTTGCTGGGGCCACGATGTGAAATTGGGACTGTTCCTTTAAACATTTATCAAACGCAAAAAGAGCTTGATTCTGATTTAAATTGTGTATTGCAGTTATTACATTGAGTCAATATTCGTATTATGCGCCATTCACAATTCCACCGTAGTAATCGGGAGTAGATTATTTATGTAGTCTCTTTTCAAACATTAAAGGATCTAAAACTCTTTGATTTAGGTAAAAAAATAAGGTATTGAAATTGGTTGATCTTATGTATTATTTCAATTATTAATGGATACGATAAAGCGGAAGTAGACTTGTTTACCAGTTTTATTTCTGGGTATTAATCTGATTATCCATTAACTAATGAGTTAGAAAAGTCAAAATTCTGATGTTTTTATTAATGGTTATCGTAGTTAAATATTCTACTAACCAGACGCAGATGAACCAAAAATAAATGATTTCTTGTCGCACTCGGACTTTAAAGGAGCTAGGCCTCTGTAGTATGTAAAATTAAAGTTTTGAATTATGTTGGCCGACGTGTTGGTTATTTCTATTAGTGATGAGACAAGACCAATATGATTTATTTTTGTTTCCAAAGATTAAGCAGAAGTTTGTTTGTTTACGAATTTTAATTTCAATGATTGTTTACTATGACTAAAACGCCGGTAATATAGCAACTCTTCCAGATCCTAGTGTAGTAAAGACAAGTAAAATGAAATTTTGAATTAAAAACAACGAAACCAAATAGGGTCTGTGTTTTAATCAGGTGGGAAAATCAAGGAAATTAACAACTTTATGTAAACAACAATAAGAAATTGTTATAGCTGTATCCCTGTTAAACCAACGGAAAATAAAATTAACTCTCGTTTCTGTCGGCTATGTACGGAGGACCTTGTAGGGAACAACGTATAGTCGTGTCGGCTGGGACGAAAAACCGAGGTCCCGTGCACACATTGGCATGCACGTAAAAGAATCCTTGGCAATTGGAATTCGACATAAGAGTAGGCCGTAGCGCCGCTTTCCGGACAGACTTACCCTCATAGCCCAGTAAAAGCAAAACAGTAGGACGCGAAACCTCATTTCATTTTCTGTCGGGGATCACGTGGCTAAGTGGGTAAGACGCTGGCCCGCTAGCCTGGAGGTCGGGTGTTCGATCCCTGCATTGGCCGAGAAAGTTCATCCAGATATTCCAGCGTGGTTTTCCCTTGTCTGTGATGCAGGACGGAGGGCCTGACAAGGACAGCTGTCTAGTCGTTCGGATGGGACGAAAAACCGAGGTCCCGTGTACAAATTGGCGTGCACGTAAAAGATCCCTTGGCAGTTGGAATTCGATATAAGAGTAGGCCGTAGCGCCGCTGCCCGGGCAAAATTTCCCTCATAGCACACTGTATGGCGTATGCCCGTCTTCATTAGCCCAGTTTAGGAGCAAAACAGTAGGACGTTAAACCCCATTTCATTTCATTTTCTGTCGGCTTTAATACTTCGCCCCACTGTCGAGGAACATATTCTGTAAATATGAACTCTGTACTTTATCAACTTGTAAAATAGTGGCGTACTGAATAGTTGAACAAAGTGCGTTTTTCTATGGTTGTGTAGAAAAATCATAATTCATTTTATAGTTTATGTGCTATACAGACTGGATAGTGATATATTGAGGTGTATGTAATATTAAACTTGGGATTCCATTACCTTGTAATTGCTCTATTCTATTCAAAGTGACACGACTCTGTTTAACTTGTTCCTTAGATTTGACATTTTCACGGTGGCTCGGTGCGTATGTCACTTGCTCACTCACTAGGATGTCCCGGCCGGTTCGATACCGGTGAGGTGATGGCTGAGAAAGTTCCCCCGGATTTTAGAGTCCGTTTTCCCCTTGTCAGTAGTGCAGGACAGGGTAGGAAGGAGGGTCTACCAAGGAAACACTCTAGACTCAAGAGGAAAAACCGTGGTCTGCAAGTGCATACCACACTATAGAAATGGTTCCACTACTGATGTCTTCCGTCTTGCTCCAGCCACAGTAGTCGACCGTCCAAAGGCCTTCCTTTGAGCAAGTTTTGTAGTTATTTGACTACAAAAAAGTTACTGGCCTATAACTCCCTTAATTTCCAATTACACTGACCTCAATTCCCATTAAAATAAAGGTGAAACCTTACCGCATAACTATATGATTTGATTTAACCCAGGGGGATTACGTGGCTAAGTGGGTAAGACGCTGGATCGCTAGCCTGGAGGTCGGGTGTTCGATCCTTGCATTGGCCAAGAAAGTTCATCCAGATTTTCCGGCGTGGTTCCCCCTTGTCAGTGATGCAGGACGGAGGGCCTGACAAGGACAGCTGTCTAGTCGTTCGGATGGGACGAAAAACCGAGGTCCCGTGTACAAATTGGAGTGCACGTAAAAGATCCCTTGACAGTTGGAATTCGATATAAGAGTAGGCCGTAGTGCACACTGTATGGCGTATGCCCGTCTTCATTAGCCCAGTTCGGAGCAGAACAGTAGGACGTTAAACCCCATTTCATTTCATTTCATTTCTGATTAAACCCACCTGTGCTATGCGAAATTTCTGTTCATTTTAAAATGGCCGTCGAACCAGAATCACGTGATTTTACGTCACTCGAAAAGACAGAAAAACTGTTCGATTAGATAAGATTAAGATTCAGTGTTCCATTCTTCACTATTTGTAACATAACTACTTATTTCCACGCAAACTGTAATGATATGTGTTGAAAATTTGCAACTGAACCTTATTTTACTTGCTCAAAGCCTCGAATAGTGTGTCAATTGTAGCCGTGATAATTCTTATTTACGGCTACAATTGACACATTGCAGCTACCGCGATAAAGATCCCCTTGGCAGTTGGAAATCGAAATAAGTGTAGGCCGGACAATTTTCGTCATTGCTCACTGTATGGCGCATGCCCGTCTTCGTTAGCTCTGCAGTCGATGCAGAAAAGTAGGACGTTAAACCCCATTTCATTATATTTGATCTATAGAAGATACATTTTAGACTACATTCATACGCGTTAATTCTGTTTCTGATTCCGAATTTCTTACATTAATCGATTAATCGAATTTCGTTAACATCTACTCTTTGAACCCTTTTAAGACAACAATAGGCGTTAATTTCTAGGTACTAACAATGACAATAATTAACACATATCATGGGTGGAATTGGGTTCAATAAACACCGGTACTACATATTAAGGACATTGCAGTTTATACTAGGAATAGTCACAAAATCATTTCGGTGATAGATTATTTCGTCCTACTGTCCTGTTCCGACTGGGCTAATGAAGATGGGCAATTTTGGCAGTAAATTCCAACTGCCAAGGGATCTTTTACGTGCACGTCAATGTGTACATGGGACTTCGGTTTTCCTTCCCATCCGAACGACTAGACCGCTGTCCTTGACAGGCCCTCCGTCCTGCACAACTGACAAGAGCAAACAACGCCGGAAAATCCCGAAGAACTTTCTCGGCCAACGCCGGGAGCGAACCCGCGACCTCCACCGTGGCTGACTACTGAAATTATACTGTTTCTAGGGTATTACTGAAATTATGTAGACTAGAAGTTCCCCAAAACCTATTATATTATGATTAATAATGCAATGATAAAATAAAAAGAAATCCACTGAATTATTCAATTTCTCTGGCGATTGAATCAGATGCACATACAGTCTCGGATAGTTTCAACAAATTAAAAGGTTTCATAAAAGGGTGTGATTTTCATTGTTGGTCAGACTTAAATTGAGACTCGTCCGACCACAATACGCTTGCCAGACCTCGCTGGTTTTCTTCGAGATGTCCAGTTTCACTTACTCTTTAAGAAGTTGGTGGGTTAACGGAATAGTGGAACCATGTTAGTCCCGAAATCCCCACCCTTTCAGCTTATCACTGTAATATTAAAATAATTCTTACCTTAACTTCTTTAGCTTCACCGCTCCCACCTAAGGTTGATGCAACTCCCAAAAAGACGAATAACATAGTGGCAAGGAACTCGGCGATAACGGCTCTCCAGAACGCAAAACTTTTCATTTCTTTAAGATTAATTAATTTACTTTTCCCATCTTGAGGTCCATATTTAATTTCCTCTAGCTTGTTGGAGACATATATAAATAACGCATCCATTTTCTTTAAATAATTTGATAATTTACACCCTTAAAACTCTATTAGCAGTTAATTAGCACTTTTGATATCTGGCAAGAATATCTATGGAGGTTCCAAATAAAAGTGTTTTAAAAGAAAAAGTTCTGTATTCGAATTTTAAGTACAGCCTGTATTCAAAGGAAGTTTCTAAATTTCAACTAAAACGTTGAACTTTCAGCAGAGAGTCAGGTTTTTATTCCAGAATTCTGAAAATATTGCACAAACTCCTTTTACAGCACAACTTATAGCAGACGAAACAATTGATTCACGAGCAGACGTCACTATACAAGTGTGTGTACATAGATCTCATATATCACATAATAGACACGCGGTTTAGCTTATAATTGATTGGTCGTTTGTCGTCACGTGACTTAAAACGCAACTCATTCTGTCGTTTAGAAAAAAAGATCAAGGCAAACTTAATTCTTACAGTTACTACATATCAATCAATTATCAATTCATTTCTCATTTAGGCACATTATCGACTAATCGACTTCTCGGTGGAAGCAGACATGAAACCCCCTAGTTAGTGGCTGTGGTGACCAATGGGACACCTGAACTCATTCGCCTTGTATAATACAATGTAGGGATAAATAATAGGGTTTTATTTCTGATTATTAATCGATCAGTAATTGTGTTATTGGTCATTGGTGAGTTTAATTTCGCAACTGAAAAAACTAGTAAACCTTTTTTTTTTTTTTTTTTTTCAAATATGAAATTTTGTCCACTGACAGTTTGGGCCACACCGCTATAATTTTCTGTTTTTCGGAACATCTGTTAAAATTGTTCTTCTTATTTAAAAACTATAAGTATTTGGTTGCACTGTTTATAACTTGTTAGTTCCAAATTTTGAAGTTTTGAAATTTTAAACTAAACAGGGGGTTGGATGGTCGAATGGTTAGCACGTGCGCGCTATATCTTAAGGTCTGTCATTGAGTCAACTGGCGTGGTTTCGATTTCCCGGTTGTAGGCCTACGTGGCAAGGAGTAGGGTTGTCTGTCGAACCTCGTGGGTTTTCTCCGGGTCCTCCGGTTTCCTCCCACTGCTAAAGACACCTACGCAAGCGAATTATTGAAATAAAATTGAACCATGTGTTAGTCCCGAAATTACCTAGGTTGTATCCAGTGGACGTTAAACCCCATTTCTCTCCCTCGCTTTAAACTAAACATCTTTTATGTTATTCAAGTAACCCAAGGAACAGAAAATCAGATTTTTGTGGCCTTAAAGTAGGAATTTGATTGGAATCAAAACTATGTCTCTTTATTAAGGTGCGGTTTCCTTTATAAAAACGATTTGATAAAAATGTATGATATTGTTTATATACTATACGGAAACTATGTAAATGGTTAGTTTTGATAATGTGTATATGTTTTGCATGTATTATTGTTGTAGATCTACGCCCAACTTACATTTAAAATTAAATTTAAAGTAGCGAAGTCTCTAACTCAATATCATCCAAAATCTTCGACATTGAAAACACGAATTATTTGACAATTTAAATCAACATTGATGTTGTGATCTTACCAGGAAAAGATGGGCTTCTGATATCCAATATTTAAGACAAAATAAACATTGTACCATTGGTACACGAATCGGGTACTATAATGCCTTTCATCGCCATTTCTAACAAGGGACTCGAAGAACGAGGCTAGACATATTCCACAAGTCATGTCACATGGTGATGTCATATTCTTATCTGGAGAGCATGCGCAATAAATACTATCGGTGTAGACTGGAGTAACCAGACGCTAGAGGTTGCCATTCGGTTGAGACTTCTGGCGTATTTTGCCGAACAGAGTAAAAACGGAAACGATTGAATGTAAATCACTTTATATACATTCATATTACATGGGGGGGGGGTTGGATAGCCGAATGGTTAGCACGTGCGTGCTGTATCATAAGACCTGTCATTGAGTCAACTGGCGTGGTTTCGAATCCCCGGTTGTACGTGACAAGGAGTAGGGTCGCCTGTCCAACCTCGTGGGTTTTCTCCGGGTCCTCCGGTTTCCTCCCTTTGCTAAAGACCCCTACGCGCAAGCGAATTATTGAAATAAAATTAAACCATATGTTAGTCCCGAAATGATCTAGTTTGTGTCGAGTGGACGTTAAACCCCATTTCTCTCTCTCTTCATATTACATTATTATATGCGTTGCGACCTATTTGTATTAATTTCTAAGTCCCAAATATTAGCGATTTAGTTCCTTTCTTCATAGAAAAATTAAAATGAGATGGGGTTTAACGTCCAACAGTTTAGCACCAGCTGGGCTAATGAAGACGGAGGTACGACATGCAGCTACGAGGGACATTTTACCCGAACAGCGGCGCTACGGCCTACCAATGTCTCGAATTCCATCTGTCGAGGATTCTTTTAGGAGTACATCAGCGTGTACACAGGACATTAGTTTTTCGTCCCATCCCAACGACAAGACGATATTCCTTGCCAGGCCCTCGTGCTGCCCCACTGACAAGGTGGCTAGGTGAATATGGCGCTGGCTCACTTATCCTTATCTGTAGTTGAGGACGGATGGCCTGGCAAGGAATGACGTCTAGTCCATCGTGTGGTACAAAAAGCCGGGGTGTTGTATTTTACCATTGTTAAAGATTCCCGACTGTTAGAAATCAAAATAAGAGTAGGCCCAAGTAAACCACTGACTGGCCAAAACTGCATGACGTATACCTGGAGAGTACAAAAACGACGTATAACCTAAGTAGATTTAATAAAATCATTAAAACCCAATTTCATTTCATACGTTATGGACATAAGCAGGACGGCGAATTTGTTCCGTGACCTTGGATTAAATATAAATAAACCATATCAATCACATTGTAAACAAATCTGATATGTTTATGAATTTATTGTATGTAAACATAATGCTAAATCAGTTTAAATTGGGCTACTTGAAGACATTCTGCAGTATAATCATAATATTATACTCAACATGCCAGTCAACATAACGGTAATAAAATACTTTGACTTGATAAAATTAGGTCGACGTGAGATATATAGCCCATGAAATTTGACAATCCTTGGCTGAGATTTGACGCATACTCACAAAAAATGTTTTGTTCAATATGTGAAAATTCGAAAGTCAGCAATAGTTTTACACCTGGGTGTACTGTTCTGAAGAAAGAATGATTTTATATGAGAATATCCTCGATTCAATATCAGTCCTGTTACAGAATATCTACGACTCAATAATATCAATCCTGTCAGTGATGACAAAGTATCAAATATAATTTTTATTTTTCAGGTCCATCTAGCCACAAAAAGCAGCGGTAATAATTATTGAAAATGGCAATTATATGGCTAAGGCCAGAGAGAAATCGGTGTCCAAATCAAAAGAAGCTATATTATCAGCCATGAGAAATGTTGTGTTCATGGCAGAGCATGATTTACCGAACTCGCTACTGTCAGAAAAGCCCGATGATCTTTTTCTGTCAACACATGAATCGATCACGGGACCCCACATTATTGACCCCGGACAAGAATTTTGCTTGGAGTGCAAGCAGGGCGGGATTAAGACCCTAAGCACTAAGAAGATTTTGGTGCTTATTTTGCTTAATGACTAATCTAGCTTTGAGTGCACAGTTCAAAGAGGCGCACGCCCAGAAAATTGATCGACACTATGACAGGGCCATTTTATTATGCGGTGTTCCGTTATTTAATCATGATATAGCACTCTTGTTGTCACAATGTATACAATAACACGTTTATTCCTAAATATATCTTTCCATTGCACTATGGCTAAATATATCGTTACAAATTCTTTAACGTTTATACGTTGGTATTAATAAAGAGGCATGCCCACTTCCTATTTGCCATAAAACTAGTTCCCACAGAAATAATCACCACACCCGGAGATAAGGACATATTTCGAAGCGGGGGAATCAGCTTGTTGTCTTGAATAGCGCTGATACCGTTAAATTATTTCATAAACATATCCATCAGTTCAAGTCCTCGAACAAATCGTGCGTCAATAGTAATCACACAGCATCGCGATATACGCGAATCGTGAGAAAGTGAATCGCGATACATCGATTCAACGATATATCGTGCCAGCACTTGCATATCTTTATACCGGATTCGGTAAAAGAGATTAATCCATCGCTATCATTAAGCATGCAGATGGGAGTCATTTCATAAATAATTATGAAATAGGCGGGGCGTATTCTGGGATTTCGTTGTCGAGACAACAGAATAAATAATGATAATGTTCTCATTAACAATGCCTGTAACTGTGTGTGTCGAAGACTCTGGGTTTAGTTGATGTAGCGGTCATAATGTCTTATATCGTATTTTGTGTCACAGGGCCAGTGCGGCCAGAAGTCGACGGAGCACTTCTTTTCCTCGCACTATCACGCCATCTGTTTATTTTCTTATATTACGTTCAAGGCGAATCTGTGCCAACTGTTGTTTCAGATTCAATAGTTCGGTTATGGCGACAGCGCCCTTATCATTTCTAGTGACATTAACAGGTGCGGGAACCCGGTCTTGTGAATGTGAGACTGGTCGACGGCGGCACAGTTAGCATATTTAAAATGAGGCTTATCTGCAGAACTTTTGTCCACGGAACCGTCGTCAGTTTGCTAGCCATTTTAATGATAAATTTGCCACCAACACACCTTCAAACTGACCAGAAGTGAATATTCGCTAGGCCGCTACAATCACTGACAGGGATGACACCGGTGCAAGATAATTAGCTCACAATATTAACTTTTTTCCTTCCGCCAATTAAATTCTAAAACATTTTTGTGGTGAAAATCAGAAAAATAAGTAAAGGTGTAAAAGTAAGTATAACGGGATAAAAAATATTTTCCATTTAGTGTAAATGGATACATAAAATTGTACGCGAAGGAGTAAAATGAGTAAGAGGCACCATTTTGCTTGGACCATCCTATGTAAATAATGTACGCGCTATCGGCGACAATGACCGACGCCGTGTGAAGTGACGTCACGTAGAATGCAGGTCAGTCATGTTACACAGAGTTAGAAGTCGGCTTTCGCATTACCTCTATGAAACAGATTGACACGCCTTGCGTTTGGTGCACTACGCCAATACGGAGCGAGGGAACTATAAATCAAAATCGTGCATTCTATGACACTCGTCCATTTACCCAAATTTATTTTAAAATAAAACTGTAATTTAGCTATTTCTAACAAGTCTGATATTACTATATGGACCAAAAAACGAGCATGTTCGCCATCGTCACCATCGTCTATCAATGCACAATTGTCCAAGGAAGAATCATGAATTGGTAGAGCTTTCGCCTTTTATCGTCGAG